TAATGCCTCGGTTATCTTTGAACATCTTATGGAACGGGTGCTTCGGGGTTTACTTTCGAAAATTTGTCTGGTTTATTTAGATGATGTGATAGTATTTGACAAAACCTTTGAGAAAATGAAAGAGAATTTAAGAGAGGTTCTTCTGAGATTTCGTGCTGCGAAACTTAGTATTAATTCAAAGAAATGTGATTTATTTAGGAGACAAGTAAAATATTTGGGTCATGTTGTTTCTTCTGCCGGGATCGCTACGGACCCTGAGAAGACTGAAGCGGTCACTGAGTGGCCAGTTCCTCAGAATAAGAAACAGGTCCGAAGTTTTCTTGGATTTTGCTCTTATTATCAAAAGTTTGTTAAGGGATTTTCTTCCTCAAATGCGAAGCCTCTGTTTAAGTTAACTGAGAATTTGAATGGATTGAGCAATGTCAAGAAGCATTTTTGAGGTTAAAACAAGCATTAACGATGGCATTAACGCACCTCTTCTTTCCTTTCCGAAGAGGGAAGGAAAGATGATTTTGGATACGGGTGCTTCAGATTTTGGAATAGGGGTGGTACTTTCACAAGTTCAGGACGGCTATGAGAGGGTCATTGCTTATTATAGTCGGGTTTTGAACAAATCTGAGCGGAATTATTGCACAACAAAAAGAGAGTTATTAGCTTTGGTAGATTCGATGAAACATTTTCATCATTATTTGTACGGAAAGAGTTTCTCTATTCGAACTGATCATGCTTCTTTGAGATGATTGATGTCCTTCAAAGACTTGGAGGGACAATTAGCTCGCTGGATGGAAAGGTTACAACAATACGATTTTGATGTTGCTCATCGAAAGGAGAGTATACACAGTAATACCGATGGTCTTTCGAGACGCCCTTGTGTAGAAGAAAAATGTAGATTCTGTTCTAAAGTGGAAGTTCAGAAAGGGTTTTTTGAGGATAAAGTTGCTCGTATTGTTTTGCGTGAGGATTCTTCTGAGGATTGGGCTCAAATAGAGGATCAGGAACTGGCAATGTTTTTACTTGCCAAAGAAAATGATTTGCGACCTTCTTAGGAGGAAGTTTCTTCGAAAGGATTGTCAGTCAAGATTTATTGGCATCAATGGCAAAAATGCTTTGGAAGTTCAGAATGAGACTTTTTATAAGAGATGGGAGGCTCCTAATTTGAAAAACAGTTTTCTTCAGTTAGTGATCCCGCAAAGCAAAGTGAAACAGATTTTAGAAGAAGCACATGATACTCCTTTTGGAGGGCATTTCGGGATCAATAAAACGCTGGAAAAGATCCGGAAACGTTTTTATTGGGCAACCTGTAAGAAGGATGTTGAGGAATGGTGTAGGACCTGTAGGACTTGCAAAAAGGGGTGCTGCGGATAAAGAGAAATCTCCTTTGCAGATCTTTAATTCGGGAGCTCCTGAGAGAATTCAAATGGACATTTTAGACTCGTTACCCGTTTCTTCTTCAGACAATAAGTATCTCCTAGTTATGGAATGTTTTACTAATAAATGGGTAGAGGCCTTTCCTCTGAAGAATATGAGAGCTACTACGGTAGCAGAAATTTTTGTTAATCAAGTTGTTTCTATATATGGAATACCATTGGAACTTCATACCGATCAGGGGAGAAATTTTGAATCGCAGCTTTTTCAAGAATTAATGAGAATTTTGGGAATTAGGAAAACGAGGACGACCGCTCTTCATCCTCAGTCTGATGGTCAAGTTAAAAGACAACATCAGACAATTTTACAATATTTGTCAAAGTTTGTTGACGAGAATCAAAAGGATTGGGATCGTTGGATTCCCATGTTTCTTCTTGCCTATAGGACCTCTAAACATGAGGCTACAGGCGTAACTCTTTCAGAATTGTTTTGCGGAAGAGATCTTACCTTGCCGATGGATTTGCTAAGAGGTACTCCTCTCAGTTATGGTTTTTCCGAGTCAGCGGAGGAGTACGTTCGGAATTTGCGGCAGAAGCTGCATGAAATTCATCAGAGAGTAAGAGAGAGATTAGAATCAAGGTCTTTGAAGATCAAATGCCGCTGTGATCGAAAGGCTAGGCATCCCTTTTGAGGAAGGATAGAAGGTTTGGTTATTCAATCCTCATCGTAAGAAGGGTAGGTCTCCCAAACTACAGAACGATTGGGAGGGGCCTTTTGAGATAATTAAGAAAATTAGTGATGTAGTTTTCTGTATTTCTCGTTCAGGTGGTCGGAAAAGCAAGGTTGTGCATGCCGACAGGTTAGCTCCGTTTAGAGAAAGGAAAGAATTTTAAGTTTTAAGAGGTTTTCGGGGCCCGGTTTTCCAATTTTGACATTATTTTTATTTCTTGTTGATTGTTTTAAGTTACTGTTTTTTTCTGTTTTATCTTTCTTTAAGCTTCCTTCCGTCATGAGAAGCGTCGTGGGGAGATCCTCGAGCCTGAGCACCAGGCAAGATCTTCAAGCTCGTGCTTCAAACTGAAAAGAAAGCTGTCTCGCCCCCGGTTTTCCGAGTCGTGGTTTTTCCGGGGGACAATGGGCGAATGCCGAGGCAGGGGCTTAGTGTTTAGAGAAGGCTTAGTGTTTTTAGAAAGACGAAAGGGTAATCCACGACGATTACCCCCACTTTGCCCGAAAAATGGAAGAGAGAAGTGCGCAAAGCTCAAGACGAAGAGTCAAGAGTGAAACGCGCGAAAATTTCAAGAACAAGATTCTTCTGAAGAGTAGAGTAGAGAAGACTGGGATTAGAAGTAGCGGCGCCCGGTAACCTGAGGCAGCAGCTCAGGGTAGGGCAGGAAGTCGCCAGGAGCCCAGAAGTCTTTTCTAAGAGGAAGTTCTTGAAAGAGGAAGAATTGTCGGGACGACAATTTTATGAAGAGGGGGACAGTGTTGCGGCCGTGCGGTGTTCCGTTCGGCGCTGCTGAAATTAATCAATATCAATCGATAAGAGTTTGAATAGAGGATCGACCCTTGGCAACACGTCGTTCTCCGACTGTTATACAGATTTGACGGCCAGATTCCGCGGTGGCCGGGCGCGTTTCTGTACCGTTGTACCATTGGTTTAATAAAGAGCGAGCTTTTCTTTAAACAGTGTTCTTCCTTTCCGAAAGCGCTCCGCCAAGTAACGCGATCTCAGGAAGTAACGCCGCGAACGCGACAATATGTATATTTATATTAAAAACGCATATATTTTCTCCAATATTATATTTGATTGATTGAACAAAAATATATTGTTCTCTACATGAGATAAATGAACCTACTAGTAACTTGGCCAATTAAAGCAAATGTTTGTTCCTTTAAATTAAATATTAATGATAGGCAATAAAATATTTTGTTCCTTAAATTAGAAAACTGATCAGAATAAATAATTATATATAATGAGTTAAGTAAATATTACTTCTATCCAATGAAATATGAATGACATTCAACTCAACTATATATTATATATAACGTTATATATTTCATAAAAATGAGTTTCTTGTTACATAAATTCAATATTTTTTAAATTTAATTATATATCTAATTAATTGAAACGAATTAATATTATATAAAGTAATCCAATTTGTAAATTTTATTAGATGCATATTTCAATGTAATATATTATTGTTAGGTCAACTAAATATTTCTTTTCGCATAACTTAATTTTTGTTTTTATTACAACGTAATATTTTTTTTAATTTACAAATATTTGCTTGACAGCCTGTGACCAGTGTATATAGTTGAATCAAATAATTTTTTTAATTCAACAATTTTTTTTTTCACTGTAATACACTTCTCTACGAGAAGTTTCAAACATTTCGCGAGATACTTCCTATTTCTATTATTTTTATGCGCGTTAAACTTCTTTTTGCGCTTCACATGAAACGACACATAGTGATTCTGTCCCATGAACGTGATTTCAAATCTGTCGAGAAACTGGCATTGCTTCAAGTATTTTCATTAGCGATCAGCGGGACAATGGGCCGCTCATGACAATATAATGTTAATATAATCGAAATTTTGCAGAAATATTTTATGCCCAAGATTTATTTTCGCGCAGTAACGGCGAAAAGTATGAAAGAAATGTGACTCGAATGAAAATCATTTTGACTAATCTCTATATTTGAAATGTTTCGAAAAATATTTGATTTTCGAAGTATCAAAAAGATCAAGATGTCGCGATTTTCAAAATATTAAAACACTAAATGACAAATTAGATAAATTCAATTTTCTGTTGATCTATTTCCAATTTGTTGGATATAATTATGGATATAATTATGCATATGTCGATTTATTTTTTAAAATATAAATTTAATAGAAGTTATATTTAGCGATATTTATTTTAAAATTAAATTAGGCATTAATTAAGAATTTGTTATAAAGAATAATATTTAAAAATTATTAATATTTAAGAAAACTATATACATTAGGGTAAATTTTATTAAAATTTTGTAACTTTTTAAAATTTTTTCTTAAACATTTCTTAAATAAATATTGTAAAATACAACTAAACACAAAACGATTTATTATATTATATTTTAACATTGTCAATATTAAAAATATTAAAAAAGTGTCACTGATTATTACAATAAGCGTACACTCGCGTATTTGCACGAATATTTATAATCTTTTGAATGCATAAAGCAAATATTCTTTTTTTCTTATTAAATTATTCCAATTTTCGTAAAGTAACAATAAAATATAATAATTTGTAATTTGTAATGTGCTAAAAAAAATAATTATGAATAGAGATATGAACTATCTCTTATAAAAATAAAACATAGATATAACAAAAATACATATCAGGTAATACATGCTACGTACTAAATTTTTATCTATTTCATAAAAACGTTAAAGACAAACTTTAAAATATAAAATATTTTGCTAAATAATATTAATGACAATAATTCAAGGGAACACTGCAATTAATATTTTATCTAAACATACTATAAAGTTAATAAAACTTTGCATTTTTTTTTCAATAAATATTAAAAGTATTAAAAATAATTTAAATAAATATCGTTATATAAAAGATACTATAATTAACGCTTTATCTATATTATCTACATTAATAATTAAATATAGTTAAAGTAATATAACTTATATTTCAATTATGTTTATGAGTTAGACCGTACTTTAAAATCCACAGAATGCGCTAACATTTTTTCTGTTGCAAAACAATTTTCTTTTGCGCATGTAACTCTATAAATAACACATTTAAAATAACAAATTATCAAAACCAAAACAAAGTATAGCTAATATTTAATTAGCACAACAAAGAAAAATAAAATAAAATTTATTATTTTTCGAAGTAACAATAAACATTATGAACATAATAATACTTACGGAGAGGTATGTCAAAAGCGGTAGCAGCGTCATCTTTCGTGTGCGTTTCCTTAGGAATGAGTTCATTTAACATATGAATTTAACATATGATTTGTCGCATCATAAAACTTTCAACAAAGCCAAAATCTCTTGACTTGTCAGTGAAGGCCGTGATGTCTCAATTGAACTAGTGTAGTAAAAACGATATTTTTATTAAGTATTAAACAATTTTTTAATAAATAATAAATTTGAGATAACAACATGCCACTCCTTCTCACAGAAAAGAATGTGAACTTCTTAGAAAAAAACAAAGTAATAAAAATCTAATTCTTTCTTCATATTTCTAAGATTAAGTTTTCACATATAAACATTTATCCACAAAAGCTATCGGATATGTACTTGGAATGTTGTTACATTCAGTTTTTACTTCAAGATAAAAGAAAAATTCAAATTACATGGTACAAGATTATGAAAGATGTATGCTCTGGGATTGCTGTTTCTTTAAAAATTCTATATCTTCGAAGCTTTCTACATTATCATTTTTACTTGTTATTTTTTATCCTATGGTCAACAATCCTAAAATATAATTTAAAAATTAGATATTAATGTAAAAAAATTGCAGTGTTAAAACATAAAAGAAACATAAAGAATATTAAAAATAAGAAATTGATAAAATACTAACAAGTTCATAGACTAAATATGTATGTACGCGCGCGCGCGCGCGCGCTTGCACATACATATTTGTGTTATAAACATATATAAAATATATAATAGAGTTATTTAAACAATTGAATTTCTATTTTCGTCAACTTGTTTCAAATATAAATATCAAATTAGCTATGAGCATTCGCGATAAAATAGATTATTACCTAGTACTTTCTTTTACAGTCACATTGTATCTGATGGCATTTCTAGTACCATTGATGTCTGTTCAATTTCATGAAATATTGAATTATATTTGTTATCGGTATAATGTTTGCAATACTAGACACAGTAGGCTCAGTAGCAATTATGATATTTGTTTTCCCAAATGCACTCAAATCTTCCATAGGAAGATTTCATCTAGTATCTCTATACATATCACTTCTTGAGCTGAAATTAAAGACATAATTATTTAAAATTTCATCAATGTGAATATTTAATAAATGTTTAAATAAAATTTTATATTGCATGAGTTTATCAGTCACATTACTAATAGAATGAGCAAAAGAATTGCGTTTTAAGTTAGTCATTCCAACATTTAGGTAAATACAATGGTTGCATAAATAGATTTACTGCCGATATCGGATGATTAATTTGTG